AAGATCTTTTAACTTCCCTGCTCCTCAGTTTTCTCATCTGCAAAGTGAGATTCATAATAGGAATGATAATTACTTTGTAAGATAATTACTTTGTAAGTAAAACCTAAAATAAGGTGTGGCATATGGTTGGTACATGCTAGTTTCCCTTCCTGCTATTCAGTGTTTCTAATAGCAGTCATACATTCTTCTATGACACAGAATAGACTATATAATTAAATTGACTTGGAAAACCAATGTAAGAAGAGATATTTGTGTTTTTAAAAGGCACTATGTTTATATAATTTGAAAATTCTTCATTAACTATCATTCTTATTTACTGATACTATCCATAGCTTCCCTGTATTCAAATATTTTTTCAGTGATAACAGAGTAAGACATAGGAGAAATATTAAAAGTTCAGGATTAGTGAAAAGTGGATAAAGATGAGAGCCCAAGAGAATATTCCTTTAGCCGACTCATAGGGCCTATGTTATTCATTCCTTTATTCATTACTTATTATATTTATTACATTATAACTTGTTTTCATGTATTATCTCACTATTATTTTGTTGATGTGGTTAGAATAAAAATTTAGAGTTCCTTCAAAAGAGGAGAGATTCACATAATCGAACCAAATAGATGACCGCAACAATAAACACAAACATAAATAGACAATGTGTGCTTTGGGTTGTGTTTGTATACGTGCAAGTGACCTAAGTTTAATAGCTTCCCAATGTTCTTATTATATTTTAAGAGATACACATATTTTGTTTGTTTTCTTCTCATGGCTCTCTGAAAAATAAAGATTCTAAATCTAGATGTCTCAAGCACTGGTCTACTGAATTCAGTTGTGAGAAATAGATAAAGGTACAACCACACATCAGGAGTTGTATATGGTGCAAAAAAATATTTTATCTGAGTGCCTGTCTGACCTAAAAAAATATGAAAATGACCATCAGAATGTTGCAAATATGTGCCAGGATGGATAGAAGGCAAAATAGAACCTTAGTACGTAGTATAAGGAAGTGTGTAGGTAACAAATTATTGCTGATGATTAACAACATCTTAGAGAGACATATTCTTGTTTCCTTTCTGACATATTTCTATTTTAGTTAAACATTACTTTTAGTTGAAAGTATTTATGGAGCGTTTCTTGATGTTAGAAATTTTAATCCTATAGTTAATATTAAGAATAAAAATTATCTAAAGATAAAAAAATAGCAGTCTTGTTAAGTACGTTTAATTTAGATAAATTAGACATTAAACCTGTACTTTGTTTCCTAAGAAAATAGTTTTGTATAGCTTTAAAAAAAATCACAGGAAATACCTCATCTGGTTAATAATTTGAAATCTCTGAGGAGTGATACCAGACACTACAAGTATAACAAATAATGTGCATGTAATAGGACAGAGATTCAGATATTCATCATTCAGCTGATAATGTAAAAATGCATTTTACACTGTATTTGACATATTTACTGACTCTTGCCTTCTTTATAAACTATAACCTCTGGCAGTTGAGTCCATGTTAATCGTGCTATGTCCTGTGATATGGCTCCAAAATTAAACTTGACTCTCCATCACCTTTATAAATCCCCCACCAGGAACAAACTCCATTTCACCTGCTAGTTCGCAAACTACCTCTTTCTATCTTAGTCCTGCTGATGGTAAATCCCCTCACCAGCTAACTGAACAGATGCACCTAGTGCTGCTTCCTAAAGATCCACAAAGCTGGGCTTTGAGGGACATTAGAAAAGTGTTAACAATGAAAAAAACCAAAAAAGCCTTTTAACTGAGAGCACTGCTTTGTTCTGCTTAGAACTTTAAGGTCACTCCAGCTCAGTCTGACTGTGGGGATCTTAATTTTTACTCAACCAATTTACTTGCAGCTGTCATTCTTTCCAATATTAAAAGTTCAGCGCTTCGAATGTAGGGAATTGGAAAGGGGTAGGAGAGGGGGAGGAGGAGGAGAAGAGCTTGTTACAAACTAAAAACAGCAAAAACAAGTAAAATCTGGCTTGGCTCTCAAGTACAAAAAGTTATTTTCAAAGCCTATAAATTATGACATAGTGATTAACATGTAATTTAAATATATTTAAACAACAATTATATCACATTTCCAGCCCAGCTAATTGGCCTCACAGATGTTCCCTTGTAGCTGCAGTGCCCTTCCAGGGGGAAATGAATGAGGTGCTTTTTATCATGGAAAACAGAAAAAAAAGCAAATGGAAAAAAATGGAAACAGAAACATAAAAGCAGCCAGTAACCCTAAAAACAATGAATGCTAAAGGGGCTTTGCTTAGCATTTTTTTTTTCCATTTTAATGCTGAAAACTAGGAAAAACTTGAAAATGCTTCTATTACTGTGATGCTATCTGGCAGAGAAAGTTGGCAAGTTGCTTATTGAAAGACTTGCCCAAGCAGGGACAGTGGGTGCATTATAATATGGCACAGCCTCACTTCATGCCTGGGAACAGACTCACTGTAAGAGTTCTCCTTATTTTTAATACAACGCTTTTACCATTGAAGACAGTCTAGCCCAGATAATGAATGTAGATAATTAATCCATATCCTGATGAAGAATGACTTGTGAGTTACTTGTTTGATCATTTATCTCTTAATTTCTATAAAATGCAAAATGTGCTGCTCCAATGCCATTTCCTGAGCTGGGATTCTGTAATTGTAGCACAACATTACTCAGTGCAGAAACCCTTGCAAGTTAAAAAGTCAAAGGCACATCAATTTCAGGGTATAGAGGAATATTCCTCCATTCCATCTGGGTTCTTCTGAGGCTGAAGAATAAACAAGTTAGCGTCAGATAAATTAGTAGGAAAAAAGGCTCGAATTTAATAACAGCTTTGGAAAATTTACATGGTTTTAAATTCTAAAGTAAAATGGGGTGGAACCAGGATATATATCCTGTGTTTAAGGACCTGGGATACTAAGGAGAGAGGAGAAGGAGAGACTTCATATGACAAACAAGAGGGAGTGACCTTCTTTCACTTTAAGAGTAAAAAATACAAATTTCTCAGGGAGGACTTGTTCATTGATAAACCTACAATTGGATGATATCCCCAAGCCATATTCTGCTAGGATATAAAAAGGGGTTGCAGGATTGATTGTTTCTTTTATTAGGAAAAAGGTATGAAGGACAAATATCTCTCTCCATCTCTAAGGTCTTTATTGCTCTTAACTTAAAATAATCTGCTTTCTTTCAGTACAAGTAATAAGACTTCCTGATGCCCACAGTATTTCAGTTGACTTTTATTTCCCCATATCAAGTGACACTTATTGAAAGAAGTCTACTGTGGTCATGTTGACAAAAGGCTATCTGACCTTTGGGAAAGACTTCTTGTACCAGTAATGATTAATATTTTGAAGTACCATACCTTTTAATATATAATCACCGTATTGAAATAAATTCACTCCAACTTCATTTCACTCTTGCCTCTTCTTTTAGTGATCTCAGACAATGTTGGATTGTACAGTGTAAATTGCAAAAGACCAGTAGCCATGTCTCTCCTAGTATATCATGGCATCTCCAGCATCTATCACTGTTCCTGTGGTTTCATTGCAGAGATTTAATCCATATTTGCTGAATAACCTGTTTAGTGATAGGGTAAGATCAAGATTTGTTTCACCAGGCAGTGATTATATTGTTCTTAACATCCCTATTTCACATGTCACGAGACTATATAGAAAATTCCTTTCTCAACCTTTATGAACAAATATATTTGATTTCATATCTTTCTAAAATATAGCAGAATATATTTTTATTGAAGGCAATGTGGAAAACAGGTAAGTATTTTAAAATGACTGATGAGTAGCTTGTTATTTTGAATACTTAACCATAGGAAACTGGTTTAACTGATATGAATGTTTAAATTTTATGTTACCTCTGCACATTTATAATAGTACAGAGTTCACAGAATTAAATTGTACATTATCTTTGTCTTCACTGAAAGTCTTCATTAAATGTTTGTTAGGAAGCCAAGGAGGAAAGTGAGGGTCTGAGATGTTTCATGATTCACTACATCACTTGTAATTGAAACTGTTTCTAACAATACATAAAACAATCTTTCTATTGTTTACAATACCACCTCCTATGCAGTACATATTTTATCATGAACTTTCCTCATTATAGTCTTTAGCATGTTGTTAGTTATGTTATTGGAGAAGTAAAGTTATAAGTAGTTCCTATATTATCATGTAAGTGACTCAGTTATAGCAAGAATTAAAATATGAAATGTAAATATCTTTGCATATTTTTATCACCATTTTCACTTAACCCATAGGTTGGAGTATAAAGCTCTAAGAATATAGATTTGTTTGTTTTCAATGGAAATCTGACTACAGCTGACTCTAAATACATAAAAATAATGTATGTAGAGCACATTTCTAAGAAAAGAGTTGATATTCCAAGATTTCCTGCTGTTTTTTGACTGCACAAGTCACACTAAAGAGAAAATAGTATGAATCTTTTTACAAAGAGAAACTAAGAAGTTGACTCTTTTGCTGAAATGGTAAAAATTAAATATAACTTGATAGCAAAATTTATTCCAGGCAAATTGAAATCTATTTCTATCTTCTTCTAGATAAGTTTCTTCTAATGAGAGAAAAGTTAATGCTGTAGTATGTGGTCACTTCAATCACTTGACATGTAACAAAGGAAAATGTTCTTCACTTATAACTATAGAAATCATTGACAGATGTCCCTTTGCTTCTAGGGTTAATCAGAGGACTATTCACTGTCAACTCAATTTTTAAACAACTATATTAATTTTCCATTAAATTTTCCTTTTTGGGGATTGAATTAAAATATTAAATATTCTTAAATACATACATAACTTCATTTGTAGTTGAGTGCATAAAATATTACCATGAGCAAACATCACTGTTGTGCATGTCTACCTCTTTGGTTCATACGACTCATGTGACTTTTCTTTTTCTTTTCCTTTTATTTTTTTTTTCATTCATGTTACCTCTTATTATATCCATCATTCCATTTTTCTTTCCTATTAGAGTGAAATTGGACACAGCCCTCCTCCTGCCTACACCCCCATGTCAGGAGTAAGTATTTCACAATCAACCTTCATCTTTTAGGATTTTTGATCTTTGCTTACCATGTTTCCTCTCTCTTGTCTCCATATAATTTCCTCATTTTGCCTTTGCCAACAGTGAGCTAAGCATTAGCTGTAGACCGTGTAGCTGCCTTTGTGGATATTTTATCTCAGTAGAAAATCCAAAGTTGAGATATCATGCATCAGTAGCAGCTTTTAATTTTTATGTGAAGGTTGTACCTGGGCTCATAAATTATGTTTCTGGGTGAGGAAAGCTATCTTTAGCTCCGTGGTTATAGGTTGTGTGCTAAAATGACAGAATCTCAATAATAAACCTCTAGTTGGGTACTGGAGACTCAAAGTCAGTAGCCACAGAGTAGAAGGCAATAAGGAACTATCAGCATTCAAATTGCCACAACTTTGCTTTTGCTCTTAACTGTCTACAAATAATGGTAATTGTATTTGTCATGAAAATCACTTTGAACTTTGTGTTAAAAATAGGCAATTTGGGAAAGGAACATGAAATACTTTTTCATTAGATCATATATTAGGTTGATAGTAAACAATCTGTATATTTCCAAATTGTTTTCCCATGATTGATTTTTAAAGAAAAATTGAATTTGAGGTGACTCTATCTACAATTCAAATATATTAGCCATTAGGGAAAAAAACAGTATTTCTGACTTTTTACTGAAAGACCAACTTCCATACCCTTCTGGTTATTAACATCAACTTTTTACAGCTTTTCCTAACAGTAACTTTTATTCAAATTTGTCTCTCTTATTGACAGAACCAGTTTGTATACCGAGATGGCGGGTTTGCTACAGAACAAGGGGTGCCGGTGCCCTATCGTGCCACGACCAGCACCATCCCAGAAGCGCCAGTGGCTCAGGGGGCTACAGCTGAAATTTTTGATGACTCCTGCTGTAATGGCACCCTCCGCAAATCGGTCACACCCCACGTCCAAGAGGATAGCAGCACCCAGAGGTACAGCGCTGACCCCACAGTATTTGCCCCAGAACGGAGTCCAAGAGGTGAACTGGATGAAGAAGGTTACATGACCCCTATGCGAGACAAACCCAAACAAGGTACAAACACAGTATTCAAAACTGATTGCCATTTCAAAATCACTTCCATCAACATAAGTGTGTAGAGGGACCTTTCCAGAACACCGGACTGCGTGACATTTATGGCTCAGAAAAGACCTAGGTTGCTGCTAAATGTAGTATGCTATCTGATTCAGCAGCATCCCCTTCCCTAGGGGCTCTATTGGAAATCAGAGTCATGGGCCCACCTAAGTAAGGATCTAGAGTTTAATAAGACCCTCAAGTGACTTTATGCATGATTAAGATTGAAAACTCTAAATGCATCTTTATTGGAATATTTGTGGTATTTTTTAAAGATTTATTCATTTATGCATACTAGAACTGGGGTGTAAGCCAGAGGTGCTGGGAGATGGAGTGAGAGGATTCACCAGAGACAGAGTGGGGAGCAGAACAGGCAGATCTACTGAAACACACTGCTGAGGGGAGCAACGGGCGAGGCAGGAAAGATCTGTGCCATGTGGGTTCTGCCTGGCTGGCCGGGAATCAAACTCATGCTGCAGTGGCTGGCGGTAGCTTGATAGCACTGTCTTTAACCCCTGTGCCACCAGGGAAGCCCCTTTATTGGAATATTTGAATTAAACAGCGTATCACAAGATTTTAGAACCACTGCTTTATTGGACTTATTGTTGAGATTATGAAAGTGTCCAAAGCTTTTGATGGCACCAAAAAAAATTTGACTGATTCATTAAAATGGTGTCACTTAAATATCCTACTTTTATTATAGGAAATTATGATTTCTTACATAACACATTTGAAAAATTAGTGTCTGACCCTCTGTATACTTAAACATATATCATCACATCTTGAAATATGCATGGTGTGTGATTTTACAAAGCTCAGCTTTACAGGATTCATGGTAAAAATGTTAAACACTTAAATCAAATAACATTTCAATTTTGGAAAAGCTTCTTACTTTCTTTGTAACAGCATCAAAAAGGAGACAATGGATGATTGCTATAACAACTAATGAGCATGTCTGAGTCTTAAGTGTCAACAGTAAATTATGCTATAAGACTCTGTATGTTGCCTATTATGTCCTTTAATATATTCAATAAGAGAGGAATATCTGAGTTCTAATCCAACATTGTGTCCTTCATATATCATTTAATCTCATTCCCTTTCTATAAAGTTGACAAAATATGACTTGCACTTCATTTGCACGGAGTTGTAATGACCAATTGCTTTGTAAATTATTGAACTGTAATTCACAGAGATGATATTGCAATAGTCACTACTATCTTAACTTGTATGTGATACTTAATGCTTAACTATGTCCATGTTTGTATCCAGGAGAAATAACCTTGGATTGATGGGATTTTTCTCTATATACATCAGAATAGATAGTTTATTTTGGAATGATGACATCTCAACCAACAATCTTGCCCTTTCTTTCCCCCAACAGTAAAATAAGAACAGCTAGCATGTCATTTTTGTGAATATATTAAAAGAGAGGATAAGAAGAGGGTGACAATATATGTGTTTACATGTCCATATATATTCTGTGTTGTAGACATAGAGGTGGAATTAAGCTTATAGAGAACAGCATTAATTAGCAGCACTTTTAAAAATTCTTTGGCATTATTTATGCTGTATGAATTTATTAGATTAAATCAAACAAAATAGCCACTATATGACTGGTTTAAACCTACAAAATAACAAACAATATTATATGATTCAAACTAGTAGTTCACTATTTTGTGAATATTATTACTCATTGGAAGTAGTTGTAATAATTATGCTTTATTTTTAAGCATATGTATTGTCAAGCAAGTCAGTTTGGAGACATGTTGACTATATAACAAATTTGTTTTATTAGTTTATTATTATTTTCTTTATATGTGTCCTATGTATAAAAGATTTCAAGGGAGTATTTACAATCAAATCCGTGTTACCTCTGTAGTTATTAACCATACAAACTAAAAGCCTTGGCTTTATCCACTCAATCTTAGCAGAAAACTATTCACACGTTGATTTGTACAATTCTTAAAAACTTCTAATTCCTCCATATTTAAAGATGCTATAACCCTGATGAATTCTTACCTTTCAACAAAAATTATTTGCTTTTAGAAATCAGAAACATGTTAAAAAAAAAAAAAAACTTGTCGCATAGGTAAAAGAGACAAACACAATTAGAAGGAAAGGTGGATAATCGAGAGAACAAAAATGCTGATCCTGGCCTTGTTGCTACCTTGTTTTGTCATTAATATGTCTGGCTCACTTGCTCCTTCTTCAGTAGTGTTTAACAAAATAGTTTTGTAAGAATAAATCAAGACAAATCTATGGCTTTATCATTCTGGATAAAGAGGTTAACCATTCTGTATAGCCTTGGTCTGGTGAGCATTTTCCAGAAAGTGGATATTGAGCCTGATATTTTTGTATTCTGTCAGAATACCTGAACCCTGTGGAGGAGAACCCTTTTGTTTCTCGGAGAAAAAATGGAGATCTTCAGGCTTTGGATAATCCCGAATATCACAATGCTTCCAATGGCCCACCCAAGGCAGAGGATGAGTATGTGAATGAGCCACTGTACCTCAACACCTTTGCGAATGCCTTGGGAAATGCAGAGTACCTGAAGAACAACATACTGTCTGTGCCAGAGAAGGCCAAGAAAGCATTCGACAACCCTGACTACTGGAACCACAGCCTGCCGCCTCGGAGCACCCTTCAGCACCCAGACTACCTGCAGGAGTACAGCACAAAATATTTTTATAAACAAAATGGACGGATCCGGCCAATGGTGGCAGAGAATCCTGAATACCTCTCTGAGTTCTCCCTGAAGCCAGGCACTGTGCTGCCTCCTCCACCCTACAGACACCGAAATACTGTGGTGTAAGCTTAGCAGTGGTTTTAAAGTGGAGAGACATGCCCGTTCCATTTTCCTTGCCACCTCTCTTTCTCTCGTGGTCTTCCTTCTCCTCCCAAGGCCAGTAGTTTTGACAGTTCCCAGTGGAAGATAAAGAAATGCAATGATAGTTATGTGCTTATCTAATTTGAACACTAGAAGGAAGGACTGAAAGAGAAAGACAGGAGGAACCATGTTGTTTCTTCATTTCTCTGCATGGGTTGGTCAGGAGGCTGGAACAGCTAGAGAAGGTTCGACAAATATAAGGCAGTACTGCTTGCTGTCATATCAATTTATAATATTTATTCTCTTTTATTTCTCTCTCTCTCTTTTTTAGTGAAGATGCTTGAAAGATACGTGCTCTCTGTTCCTATCTGTAGGAACTGATGTGTATTTTCAGCATCCCTGGAAATCCTAATAAAATTTCCATTAGAACAAAAAAAACGTTTTTGCTAACATATGATGGCAACTGAGATGGAGAGTCCAGTTTCGTCTGTAGCAGTTTTTATCCTGACAAATAAGAATGGCCAACTTAGCTTTCATATTGAGTCTCCATCAGTTATAACTCTTATGTTTGGAGAACTTTGTTTTGCTTTGGTCTGTCCTTTTATATTACATGTTCCCCTATTTTTGGCTTTAATTTCTAATTGCAAAGATTTTTACATCAAAGCTTCTTATGTATTGCTATAAATTGACAGCTTTAAAAAGAAATATTTTAATATTTTGAAATGGCCACTATTTTAAATATGCAGTCTTTAAAATTAGAAAGGGAGGCCAAGTTATTAGTCAAATATGACATCAACCCTAACTTTTGTGCTTTACACTCTTGAATATGTACCCATCCCATACCTTTACATTCATCAACATCTTCTCCATGAATGACAGTACTTGATAAGTGGTTGGTAATGTTAAAAGTAGAAAGGAAGCTAAGAGACAGTTTTGTGTGGTTCATGAAAACTACTGACACTTTCAGGGATGGTCCTGAATGGGAAATCCATTGAACTGGAAAAAAACACACTGGATTGGGTATGTCTACCTGGCAAATACTCAGAAATGTAGTTTGCACATAAGCTATAATTTTTTTTTGTTCTCTTTCTGAACTCCATTTTGGATATTGAATGAAGCAATATGGAAGCAACCAGCAAAATAACTAATAAGTACATTTAAAAAAAAAGAGCTAAGATAAAGAAAGACTGTGGAAATGCCAAATGAAGCAAATTAGGACTTTGGAAGAGTACCCAGGGATTGTGGTGAAAGGGCCAGCACATTATCCACATGTGATGCTACATTGCTACGCAAGGAAAGTTGTCCAGTTTGTATACTCCATGTGAAGGAATGCAAGTAAGAATTGGCTTGAATTCATGGAATTTGTAGTATGAGATTCTATTTGTATTAAGTAGAAGATAAATTGTTGCACATAAGTTGGTATAATAAGAAATACATAAACATTCACAGTTCATAGATAGGTCCTTGGGTTAAAAGTTGTAAATAATCATGAAAAAGCTCATGTAATTATTTTAAAATCAAAAATAATAATCCTCTGATACTTTATATAAAAATTCTTTTTCTTCAAATACAGCATCCTAGTTCTAGAACCATCTTTATTATATATCACTTTAAGACGACTGATAGGAATGAGTGAAGGAATAAGTCTCCAGGAGAGGAGACCTCAGGTCAGTAAATAGAAGAATTGTATATGTGTCTCTTTTCTGGGAAATTCTGCCCCAAGTCATTGGAATAAAAATAAAATCTTTATAATGTAATGTTGAAGTATTAAGATCATATTTGAGTCTACCACCTTTAAAAAAAAAAAAAGCAAGTAAACTGAAAATCTCCATTGGTAAAGCAGAGAGTTCAGAAAAATAATGCAAAAACATCTAGGTTTCTTTCTATTTTGAAAAAAGAAATCCCTCTATTCATTCAACTCCTTTATTTTTTCAACTGATATTTAGAGTCTACTAAAAGCTCTGTGTTACATGGGGAATGCCCATATTAATGTAGTATTATCCAGAACTTTAACATCTCATAGTCACGTTTAATTTGGAATGCCATTTAGATTTTTCCTTTAAGTCAAGGAATAAGATTATTATAGACTATAATAAGGTTATTATAGACTATTTTGTGTACAGTCATCATAACATCAGCTGCTTGTTAAAAGATCTCCTGTGAATGCATTTGGGACATGAATTAAACACCTGTTTTTTATTGCAGTTGGCAAATAGGATAGATTCAATGTTATCATCCAAACAGACTGATCTAAATGGAGAATGCACCACTGGCTAATTGGTGTATTTGACCTCTAAGTTGACCACTAAATCAACAGCAGATTTCGTTCTTTGACTATGAACCCAAATGCATTGGAAGTGGTTTCTTCCTAAGTTATGAGAAGTATGGTAAGCTCGAGGATTGAGCTAGAACAAGGGAAGAAGGGCTTATGAGATCTCATCTAGTGAAGTTCAACCATGAACTTCCCAAGGTTGAAGGCACAGAATGATTCAGAAGTCACAGAATGACAGCTGAGCTCTCCCACCATTCACCAATCTCCAGGAAAGGAGTACCTCACATCAGTACTTACGATGATTCGGATATAAGCCTTCCTTTCTTGATCTATCTGTACCAACTCATCACTGACAATACACTTGTTGGATACTAGAACTTGACTTATTCTTCTGATTTTCAATTTTTTGTCATTTCTACCAAGATTTGGAAAGCAGAATCATTTTGAAGGATGAAAGACAAATGATGTTCTTACTGTTAAGGAGCTAAAATGTATTCAGAGAATTTAGTCTCATCCCTAGACCATGAAATTCTTTCGGATCAGTTAATCTATGAACAAGGAGTTAATGCAAGTATAATTCAAAATTACCCAAAAGTTTCTTAAGACTTCCACTTTATTATTCCTTTTGAATGGTAGTTCACACTTGGTTTCATTTGTTTTAGAGTTTCTCTTTTAGTTTTATTTTCATCTCCCTATGGAAACATACTTAAGAGTGTGTGAGAGTGAGAAAGGAAAAAAGAGAGCTTCAGTTGTTCCAAGAATTGCCTATTTAACCCAGTAGAGTGAAATTAAACAATTAAGGCCTACAAAGTACATCAGAATATAAGATTCCAGATGCTAGTTGTATCAATACAGATAGGCATTATCAACTAAGTAAATCTGAGGAAAATTAATAGTAAAACTATATAGACTGTATTTATTAAATCCTTAAATTCTGTAGCATATACCTATCTTGGGGACTTCTGGGAAAACTTTACAAAGTAAGTGGTTGTTTGAAGAAGTAATTTTTAGACAGGTGAGCAAAGAAATCCTCTAAACTAAGGTAGATCCAGAACCACAAAGCTTCTTGAGGTACAAAGAGGTGTCTGGACTACTTCACAGTGAATGGTTTTCTGAATATAAGTAGCACAGGTTAGGATGAGAGTGTTTCACAAATAATATTCTTGAAATAGCATAAAAGACAATGCAAAACTCAAAATATATTAAAAAGTACAAGCTAAAAATATGAGACTCTTAGTAGATCAGAAAGAATAACAATATCTGTAGCTTGAAAGAAGAAATAGTGTTCTTCTTAGTGTTACCATGTGTCAATACCTTTTAAAGTATTCTAAAGTGGCTTGAAGACTGTGCTTGTTCCCAAGGTCAAGGACAAACAAGCAAAAAGACTGTGAGGCTTTGCTGCTAGATGAAGTTAGAGGGGCTATAACATGCTTCTTGAAGTGTCAAAAGTGAAAAGAAAATTAAGATGGTTTAAGCCCATCAGGCAAGGATGTAAATACAATTTTTTCTAACACTATCTAACCTTTCTTTCAAGACTTGAATTTTTCATTCATCTGTAATTGTTAATTATTTAACTAGTATATGTAGTTCATAAGGTAATAGAAGAGGTGATCATGAAAGCATGTATATAAACTGGACAGAAATATGATAAGCTGTAAGATGTAGATTTAGTTAGGTTATCAGACATTAAATGATTTTAATATTGCTAAACAAATCAAACTAGAAAATTAACCACAAAATATAACAAAATAAGATACAGGATATGAAATGTAGGATGGATTTTGCATAGTACAAAATAAGTTTGCCATTTAAAATTGTTATTTATTAGGTTTAGCTGAAAGTAGGCATATTAAGAGTTGGTCCCACTTGTGAAAACCTGCTTTTAAATATTATAAGTAAAAATTTTTCTCACTGTATTATTCCTTTACCATTTCTTAATGTAAAAAGAAAATTTGTTTTGAAAACACCACCTTGTAGGGTTTAATAGGCAAATGTGACATGAAGTAAGAGGTCTTCAAAGAGAAGTAAAGGAAACGTAAATGTTCTATTACCTTATGCAGAGACAAAGAATAAGTGGTGCCATTTAGTAAACAAATTACATTAAATTTGTGGCATGTCCTATCATCTTCCATAATATCCTCGCATCTCCCAAAACCAGGAATTAGTTAACAATATTCTGATAAACAAATAAAATCAAGCATTTCCAACTGCTGTATTTCCATTATTTTGAACTCTAGTTACTAAGCTGATGATTTTTAATAGGGCAAATGAGAAATCCAGGTTTATAAGCTGCTAGTTGTTTTAAAGCCAGATAATCTAACTTCTACTGTAGATGCTCTAGGCAGAGAATCCTGCTGTGCCTCTCTTTGTATTTATGGACATCGAAGGACCACCTTGTACCCATGTAGACACATAAAGGCAGATTCATGACTCCTGATTGCCCTTTGTTTGGAACAAAAAAACATCACACAGATGTAGATTGGGCATGATTTTAAAGTCACAGTCTCAGCAGGACCTTGACATTACTAATTATACAATAGGGTCATCTTTTATTCCTCTGGGGAAAATCAATAAAAATCTTCTAACCCTAGAGATACTTTGCAAGAGTGGTTCTCTCCACACTTGCAACATAAAACTTTTGAGGTCATGTGTTGGGTCAGGAACCCTTGTGTTTGTATGGACAAATGGCTTTTAACATCAAGGGTTGCTTTTTTTTTTTAATTAAACATCTCTATAAATTAGCAGAATTTTCCAGCATTGTGTTCAATTCCCACTGATTTTGTAGAGGTGCAAAATTATAGGATGTCCACTTTTGCAGACCCCTGACTCAATTCCTCCCAGCCAGGTGGTATTTTGGGCAGAAGAAAATGTTTCTCTATTCACAAGCTGAGAAGACAAATTAAAGCCCCCATTTCATGTGGGTATTCACATAATTCCCCTGGAAAAAACTCCTTGACAGTCCGTTTTGCAAGTAAGCGATAACCTTGTTAGAAAACACAGAAAAAATAATTTCTCTCTGGACCTCACTGGAACATAGTACCCTTACTTCTCCCACTGCCTCCATTCTTTTCACTTTTCTACCACCCTAGTTCAAAGCAGTCCTCTAGATGCTTTACTTCTCTTAAGCCATAGTGGATCTTCTTGGTCCCATACCCTGCTTTGTGAAATAATGACTTAAGTCTCTGCCCTCAGATGCCTGACATTTTCCATAAAAGAGTCTAGCAATCTGAACATTGTGTAAATTATTTCTCAAATAAATGACTGCACAGAGTACACATTATGATAGTAAAACGATATTTTCCATGAAGATTGAATTTCTTAACTATGCCCTTCTCTGTAGGAATTTGTGATGAATCAGCCCTGTGATGAATTTTGAAACTCACACATGCACACTTACCCTTTGGTGGGTCTTAGATTTAATCTTTCCATAAAGACCTTACATATAACAGAGAGTTTTGCTAGCAAATTAACTTATTTACTTTATTTATCTTCTTTTATCCCAACCACAAATATTTTACTGCTGCTGTAATTTTTTTTTTCACAAATGAAGAATCTTATATCATAAAGGGAAAGGCTATTTAGCTTTGAGAACCACCTGTAATATTTTACTGGAATTGTTCATCTATCTAACAAATGCATGAGTGCAGTTTCACTGTAATGCAAATCCATGCTGTCTAATAAGTTGCCATTCTTTCTCTACTGCTCTTTAAAGAAGTTTTTCTTTCAATGATCTGCTTTTGCATTTCATGAGGAGTGGTTATATTTGTACACATATACAAATATATGAATACAAAGTTTCATACCTATAGGCAATAGTCTAATTTGTCCAAACCACTTTGCCTTTACTGCTATTTTTATCCCTAATATGTAAATGTTTCCCCCAGGCCTGTAGCTCTTTTGCAAAAAGCAAATCATATCTCCTATATGACATAACCTGGTTTTTGAGTATCATTTCCAGATTTTTCAGTTAATGTGGGGGCGAGGGATATACATTTTCCCTAATGTGAGAGTCACTTTCCTGTATATTTCTGGATCTCTCAGGGGCTGGGAGGGGGTAGTGAGGGTACTACACCATAGCACTCCAAGAACCCTTTTGGGATTACTCCAGTAATCAACTAAAAGAAGTTATTTTCTAAATGTAGATACGTAAGGTGTTCTTTTAAAGTAAGGTACTTTGAAATATGTAGCATAAATTGGTACTGCTGTTAAATGGGTCGATTATTAAACTGAGCAGCTGTGCAAGGGCAGCTAACTTTGAAAGCACACCGCACTGGCTGGTGTGTCTGCATCTCATGCTGTGAGCACCAGGGACTCACATCGCTGCATGTCAAATTGCATTTTCTCATGGTAAGACTAGTTGTTCATCTCTTTCTCGAGCAATCTAATCTCGAGAGCAAATGAAAGTGAGATTAGTCTGTAAGACAATTCTTAGCACAAAAAAAAATAAGTCACATGATCTCTCACAAACACTCATCTCATACACCCATCAAAGTATTTGACTAAGATCGGTTCAGGTGATAAAGGGAGACACTTTACAGAAAAGGCAGAGACTTAAGGTTTAGTATACATTTGTATTCATTTCTTCATGTTCTTAACTCCTAAACAGAAAACAAGCCCTCTCTCTTGTGAAGTATCTTCAAAAGACAGAGGTGCAAAAAATACCTAGCTGGTAAGCCATCGATGTTTCATTTAAATCCCAGTGTTCAAAGTTAGCTGCCTTTTTGAAATAAAAAATACTACTGTATGTTTGAAAATGTGAATAGTATTTTTATAGCTTGTTAAAGACATGGCTAGTTGAATTTGTAAATAAGGAAACTGTTGCTTTGATTTTCTTTCGTGGACATCTTTATTTGGAACATAATTGTCTTTAGGGTTGATTTGTATATAAGTAATTGGCTTGTGATTGTTTCTTTTTGGTTGGAAGTTATCATTTTGACATTACTTGTGATTCTGTGTTCAGCACTATTGTGATGTGTTCAACCTCTGCACTCGCTTACACAATAGGATATGCCAATTGTGTGTGGTGTAATGTTATTTTGATTTTTTTCTATTTTATCTATGAAGGATTATGCACTTAACACATACTAACTTTTTTAATGTTAGGTATATTTTTAGTATAATTTCCCTTATTCTTTCTTCTCCAACCCTTCACTCCACTCTCCTCCTTCCCCCCATTTCTGTTGCTATTTGAGAATGAGGGACAAACAGTATTTCAAATTTCTGTAATTAGATTTTTCAGTTAGTTCTCAAGGATTCTCTCTTGGTCTTGGGAAAGAATTGTACCTGTACAAGGCAATTATAGAATGTGACCTGCTTTGCCTCATTCCATACTGATCATCCCAGCTGAACAATTTGAAAACTGTTCTGCCTTTTTGTTACATGAATCTGTCAGAAATATATTTTTAATTTAATATAAATGAAATTCAATAAAATATGAAACAAATGTTCTCTTCCGTGTCAAAAATTTGTTATTGGATAAACCATGTGGGTAAGAGGAAGATTGTGTCTAGATATAATAATATGAAGATATGTATATGAGCTTATTTTTGTCTGTGTTTATGAATCTCATTTACTCACTTCAGAACCTGTTGGTCGTGTGGAATTTGATATATTCCATATCTTTTTACGTTTAGCACATATGCCTATTGATGTGCACAGACTTACTTCTCTCTGTAGACTATGCTTAATTATCTGTGACTAGTCTATTTCTTTGGGAATTAAAAAAAAGTTTTAAAAGATCTGCTAGGTAGTATCCAAATAATGTTAACATTTTCATGATATTTTTTTCTTTCTGCCCTGTTCACAGTTTACAAAATTGGTTCTTGCAAATCTTTTGATGTAAAGACTGTCAAATGTTATCATGCTTGAAGTGAGGAGTGGGGTGTGGGACCATAAAAAATCACCAAGCCTGGTGACTTGGGGAAGCTGACAGAAAAGCATGAGAGTGATTTTGGAGACATTGGTGATGTGAATAAGATCTCTCAATACTTTCTTATGCCAACTTTTCATTTTCAATTTTATTTTACTTCTTTATGCCTCCAAAGTCTAAGAACTTTAAGATCCCAATGACTTCTCATGTGGATTCTATAACTCTTTCAAACCATTATTGTTATGTATGATGTCAAATGGGTCAGTGAACATAAAATATATTTTCAAAATGATATATTGGAGTAAATTTTCTTAAAATTGTTCAGTTATGAGCCTTTAAAGATCCTGGTGATTGTCCTCCTTTCTATTTGCAGGACGTGCACGCATTCGCTCCCTTGGAACTTTTGACCCATTTACTTGAGATCATTGTTATTTAATAGTTTTCAGAGTGAGATTTGTCAAGGTGCTATGCATTTTAAGACAATAGTAAACTGAGGAAGAAAAATATTATGTGCTCCTAATAATTTAAGGTGTAATCGATACTGCCAGTGGCATTATGTTAATTCATAGCAGTTATAATACTTACTAATTACATAATGCTTCACCATACCTGAAATTATTTTGCATATGTTGGTTCATTTGTTTCATTATATCCTTTTGAGATAAATATTATCAGAATAGGGCTGATAAGGAAAACAAGACTGAAAAACAAATGTAGTCATGTGACCTTTCTGAAATTAGGGCACTCATCATCAAAGTTCGTGTTAAATATCTTTCCTCTACTTAGTTATCCACTTCTTTTCCTCTTTGTTAGTTGTGTGTGATAGAAGCACAGTTTATGCTGACACAATGACTCAGTGCATGACTACCAATGGTCTTCACTAGCCCCTTGACAACCGTTTTCTCTTATAACTGAAAACTTCACCCACTTCTCACTACTCACACTACCAAGCGCAATTCATATATGATGGAGAGTCAATTTTCTTTCCTTCAAGAGAGAGAAAAGCACATAGTCACAAGTAAAAGGATTTTCAAAATGATCATGTGGAAAAGCTGATAATAGGGTCCCTTTCTGCTTGGTAAAGGTACTACTTGACCTCTATACATACCAGAGAATAAGGCGTATAACTATATCATCTCTCATAACTCTTACAATCATTAATGTTAATAGAAGTAAAGCCTTTCATAAAGCATCAGATTTATAACTAAGTAGGTAAAATTTCCAGATTTTTGTCACATTATTGGGCAATAGAAACTTCTGAAAACAGCATAGAATCTCAACATGAATTGTCAAAATTTTAGTAAAAATGATAATGATATTAGGGAAAATATGGAGAAGCAGTGATAAGGGATTAGAAGGTTAGAAGCAAAAATGAATGTGAAAATTCACTTTAGCTATTCATGTCTCAAGCAAACTCCAAGATTCCTGAATTCACAATTGTTTAACTTTATAAGCCCTATGGGAAGAGATCTAGACATAGCAAAATGATCTCTATATAGATATATAGAGCTGTAGATATATAACAGAATAGAGATAATAATATGTAATAATGGGAGAGAGAGAGAGATGTATATATGTAAATATGTAAATGTCCAGGCAAGTATATACAAAAACTATAGGACAAAAAATATTGTGTAAAATATTTAAAGATATTTTTACATACTGCAGAATTTCATAGAGTCCCTATTTTCAAGCAGTTCACCACATGTCCCATGATGTATATCATACTACAAGTTACACTCATAAAACTGTAAACTGAGCAGGTGCATGGCCAGCTAATTGTATTTCTCTCCACAGTGTTATCAAGCTGCATGATAAGCCATAGGGAGCAAAGCCACTAGACAACCGTCTCAAGATTAGAAACGGAAGACTGTCACCCAGGTAGCAATTTTAAAGCTATAAACAGAACAATTCACCATAAGATAGCAATCAGGAGACTGTAAACCAAATGGTACACATGAGACATGTGAATATTAAAATACCTACTCTTGTGAGTTACCCATAGGTTTTTATATTAAAAAAAAATACCCATCTTGCAAACCTGTTTCTATTTATTTGTATTTCCAAGGTAAGTAGAGTGTTCTGCAAAATGATATAATCCAAATTTTCTGCCTCTTTTAGAAACAAAAGTTAACAATAATTCTAAGCTTTAATGACATATTTCGACTGCCCACTGATTCCTCCCGTAAGACACACACATGCACGTGTGTGTGCACACAGAAACACACACACCCACACATCAGTAAATTTCCTGAAGATTAATCTGAATATCTGTTCCAGTTGTCTCACGTATCTTCTTATATCACCTTCTTCCATGTATTACAGGGATTTGTTGGGCCTTTACACAGTTAAGGTTATAATATTTGTGTGGATTTCCAGCCATTACAGCAGTAACAAAAATAATAAAAGACATTGATTGAAGGTTCCTGTATGCCTGGCCCTGTGAAATACATTCAGTTCACCTATTATAAGGTAGGTGCTATTATTTTCTTCCTTTCATAATTGGAAAAGTAAAATTTTAGAAAAGTTGAGAGTTTGCCCAAGGCCACACCAAAAAGTGGCCTTCCCAAGATATAACTCCACTATAACATGCTATATTGTATTGATTTGACAATAACGATATAGCAAGAGTGGTTTTCCCTCACACATTTTAAAAAATGATTTATTTATTTATGCATACAAAAACTGGGGTATTGGCTAGAGGTGTGGGGGGTGGGGGGTGAGAGGATTCACCAGAGAAGAGTGGGGAACAGAACAAGCAGATTGACTGAAACACACTGCTGAGGGGAGCAGTGGGTGAGACAGGGAGGTCTGCTATGCCATGTGGGTCACCCCCCTGGCCAGGGATTGAACTCGTGCTGCAGTAGTTATGATAGCTTCATAGTGCTGACACTTAACCCCTTACGCTACCAGAGAGGTCTTCCCTCACACATTTAAATTCAGATGGACAGTAAATGTACTTTCATTTTTCTGTAACAAAACTTAGCATTGGGCCTCCCCAGTGGCGCAGCAGTTGAGCACTGGGCTGCGAAGCTGCCCACAGCCTCTGCAGTGCTGGTTCGATTCCCGGCTGCTCCCCGGCCACTGGGGGAGGGTCCCACATGGCGCGCAGGCCTCTCCTGCCGCCCGCTGCTCCCCTCAGCAGTGTACTTCGATCCTTCTGTCTGCTCTGCTCCCCGCTCTGGCTCTGGTGAATTCTCTCACCCTCCTGCGCTTCTGACTGTACCCAGTGCTTGTATAAATAAATAAATCTTAAAAAAACAAAAAAACAAAACAAAAAAAAAAAACACTTAGCAACTTCCCAAATCTCTAATTTATCTAGAAGTAGAAAACATAAACTGGACAACTAATAATTTTCCAGAATTACTTCAAAATATATTTAGTCAATTTAGGGCCTCCCTGGTGGCGCAGCGGTTGAGCGCTGGGTTGCGAACCTGCCCGCAGCCTCTGCGACGCCGGTTCAATCCCTGGCTGCTCCCCGGCCACAGGAGGAGGGTCCCACATGGCGCGCAGACCTCTCCTGCGGCCCGCTGCTCCCCTCAGCAGTGTACTTCGGTCCTTCTGCCTGCTCTGCTCCCCGCTCTGGCTCTGGTGAATTCTCTCACCCTCCCGTGCTTCTGACTGTACCCAGTGCATGTATAAACAAAAAACAAACAAACAAACAAATAAATAAATAAACATGCCTCTATAAAAAAAAAAAAAAAAAAATTGAAAAAAAAAAAATATATTGAGTCAATTTAAGGGTTTTCCTCAACTCTTTTTCTCAGTGGTGAAATTTAAATTCTAGAGCTTATGTTAGTTAGAAATTTCAGAATTCTGTAACTATGATAAACAACTCAGAAATATTGACTTATCATATAAAACCTTGTTTCTGCTATGTGTGTGACAGTTTTCTTCCAAATGATGCTTTGGGGACCAGAAAGCATCATTTTTCAGCTCCTCTAGCTTAAGATGTTGCCTTCATGACTGCTGGCTGTAACAGAGAAAAGAATGCTGCAGCATGAGATAGGGGCTTTTCCGTGCCACAGCTCAGAGGTAACTTATGACTTCTGCTCACTCTGTTAGTTAAAACTACTCATGCAGTTAGTTAAAACTATTCATTCTGTGCCCAGTTTCCAGGGATCTGTGGGAGCACATAGATATCAGCAAAGGAATTAAAGGAAATTTTTTTAAGATTTATTTATTTATGCATACAAGAACTGGGGTACAGGCCAGAGGTGCGGAGGCTGAGAGGATTCACCAGAGAGAGTGGGGAGCAGAACAGGCAGACTGACTGAAATACACTGCTGAGAGGAGCAGCGGGCAAGACAGGAGAGGTCTGCTGTGCCATATGGGTAGCTCCCTGACCAGGGATAGAAACCATGCTGCAGTGGCTGCCAATAGCTTGATAGTGCTATCTCTTTAACTCCTGCACCACCAGGGAGGCCCTTCAGCTTAGGAAATTATAGGTGGAAGTATAATGCAACTATGCTTTAGCCAATGTGCTAAGCAAATCACAAAGATTATCTCATTTAATAAATTACAAAATAAAAACTTTAAAACTTGATAGTCTGATAATGATAAGGAATAACAAA